AACAAATGTTTCTTGGGAAGAAGATAAGCATTGCAAGATAAAATCAGAAGCAAAAGAGAAAGGATTCTGCTAGTCATGGGGCCTCTGGAGAACATGGTAGGCTAAGTGGAATTATGTTTTATCTTTGTTATTACTTGTGTGTGTTTGTTTGTGTCCAATGCAGTCTATAGACGTTTGTTATTACTTCTACATTTCATTTTCTTACTGCTTTGGGTTAAATGGCAGCACAAAGTAGTAATCAGACTTTCAAGGAGTCTAAAGCGCCACACTCTGCAGCTAATAAACGTAGTGATAACATTCAGCTGAGAGGGAGGAACACATTTGCAATGCCAAGGAACGTCAGACCACTTGGTGTCCCCTCTACAAATTCAAAAGCCGGGGAAGTGGAAGATGGAAAGCCAAAGTCAAATAATGAGTTCAGAGAAATGATCCTTAAGAAGTGAGGTTTGTTCCTGAGGTTACATGTTACATGTTAACTAGAATAGCACAGTAATTGACAAACTTCTCTTTCTTATAAAAAAACATAAGGTTTTGCCTTAATATGTTTCTATAAACCCAATTATGACCAACAATACCTTCTATAAATATGTTGTCTCTGCTCATGTGACTAAACAGTGGAGAAAAACACTTATCTATAAATATGCAAAAACTTCTGGCATTTGCAGGGTTTTGCAGGAAGCCAAAGAAGCACTAAAACCAAAATTTTACTCATTTTCTAAGTTGCAGAAAGGTTTGCCCCATGGATGGATACGTATCAGACAAAGTACTGAGCTCACTTGCTTTAGATTTTTTTTTTTTTTTCTTATAAAAGGCATAAGGTTTTGCCTTAATAAGTTTCTATAAACAGAATTATGACAAACGATACCTGTTTGAGGACGAAAAATATATATCAGTACCCTTCTTGTAAATTTTATTCTAGATATGTCAAGTTTATACCCATTTTCCTATTTGTCATAGATGAGAATCCTAATGCAGAAAGATGGAACACTAGAGCACTATTGAGTTTGTGTATTGAAATAGCAATGGCCTTGCATCTCATGCTTGTGGAAAATGTGAAAAAATGTCTTTGGTCTGGAAAATGTTTGAGGAAGAATATGAAGAATATCATCTGTATGCTCGCCCGATTAAAATTCCGCACACATATATTCATTTTTATTGCCTGTTTTGAATGAATATCCATATCTCATATGATTATGTTTGTTTCACTTAGACTCTTCATGATTCTATTGGATGCTTTCATAAAATTTCTCGTAGAATCGAGAATGAGGTTTTTGCTTTGTACATGTTAGATCATGAATTAGTACCAATCTTCAAAAAAGATCTAATTGTTTCACTTTCTATTTTCGGAATGGAATATTTACATAATCCCCATGAATAGGATTAAACGTTGTTCCATGGTATAGTGCACATTGCGGATAAGCTAATGTAGAACATTACAATAGTATCATAAAGTGTTAAGGACATCAAGTCAACTTCTTTCAAGCTTACAACAAAAATCACACACAACAGATATTAAAGTACAGGTCATGATTTGAATCTCTCGTGTATTACATCATGCTATATTTGGGTTGGTCTTTCTGCCTAAATTTGGGCTTGGTTTATGTAACAAGTGAAGATGCCTCTTACAGAGCTTAATACCTTTTTCAGCTTAAGCTTTTAGGTCAAGTTGTTTATCAACAAAATTGTTGTTGAAATTTAGTTATAATTTCAATTTCTTATGGTCTTTCTTGTTTTTAATATAAGTAATCAGTTTATGCATACTTAAAGTTAAATGTTTCGCACTTAAATAATATTTTTATAAATTAATAGTAATCATTTTGATTAAGCATTATTGAAGTTATAAAAGTAGTTGTGTTCTCGATTGACGTAAGAAAATTTTAATCAATAAGCAAACACTGATTATAAATATTTAACATTAAAATTCATGAATTCCCTTGACATTAACTTGGCTTGTATGAGCATCATGATTAAACATTATTAAAATTATCTCATAAGATTTTTGGTTCATAAAAACAAAGAGGAGAAGATGGAAAATTTAATCAATAAAAAACAAACGAATGTTAAATAAATACATATTGATACATCCTCTACCATTGAATAAGATAAATTAATTGAAAGAATTAGCATGTCAAAACATTGAGAGAAAAGTTCAAGATTCTATCTCATATTTCATTAATTCTCTTGCAAAATATGATGCGTTGAAAAATTAGAATAGAAAAGTCTTATAGCTATAAAATGCTTCTCTCTTCTAATTGATTCCATCTATTATTGGAAGTATAGTCTCTAATGAACTTCAAATCCGACTTCACTGCCTCGTGGCGCACCTCTAATAATAGTCTCTAATAAACAATATAAAAACTAATCTTATAAATGAAGAAGTTTTAACTAGAAAGGAATGGACCTAATGTTGTTTGCTACAATACTTTAATCAGATGGTATTGCAAGAATAAAGAAGTCAACAAAGTTCTTAGTCTTTATCAAGAGAAGACTTTAGAAGGAATTAGGCCTAACGTGATTATAAATAACAATTTGTTAACTTGCCTTTTTCTTAAACCTAATGTAAAAGATGCATAGAAATTAGTTGGTGAGATGCAACTTAATGGTTTTACCTTATTCTTGGACACATAGCATTTTCATTGATGAACTTTGCAAGAATGGATGTGTTTCAGAAGAAGTGGAAATGTTTCATACTTTAGTAAATAATATCGATTTTGGTATATTTAAAAGTTTGAAGAACAAATAAATTTATATATCATTGTAAATTAAATACAAAGTTCAATAGCATGATTTATTTAAATCTTATAATTTTATTAAAAAAAAAGGTAAAATTGAATACTTATATAAATTGGTTTGTTTGATCAACTGGATAATTTTGGATTTAGTAGAAAACCACCTCAAACGGAAAAACACCTGAAGGTGGATATATATTTTTAACCTTCAAGTGAACAATTTTCTAAATCATAAAGGTGGTTTGAATATGATAGATCGATACTTGAGATAAGTTTGCAATTTTGAAAACCTTAAAGGTTGTTTGTGAAATTTGTTAAAACATTTCTCTTTAATGCATTTGCCTTTTGCAATGACCTTACTTCGGAAAAAACGACCCACAAAAACACTCTTCATACATGGCTTTGAGATTCAGATCCCCATTTCTTTCGTCTTCAATCTCTCAAAACCCATTTCGAAAGTTAATTTTTTATTTTTGTTAGCTCACTTCCACAACCTCACATTTTCAATCTCCAAAATAAAGTTTCGTATTCTTTCAAAAAGCCCTTTGAACGATCCTCACTTGCTAAATTCCTTGAAGAAAATTGCCGATCAGGTAGCTTTACTCTGAATGAAGCATTGTACTTTTTTTATTACATGGTTAATATGAAACCCATTTCTGCAATTTCATCATTCACTACTTTGTTTAGTGCACTAGCTAAGAAGAAGCATTATTATGAAGTGATTTTGCTTTATAAGCTGTTGAATTCAACTGGGCTGTCTCCAGATTTTATATCTTTGAATATTTTGATGAATTGCTTATGTAATATTGAAAGGGTTTCTGTTGGTTATGCGGTTTTTGGAGCGATTTTGAAGTTGGGTTTTAGCCCAAATACCGTGACATTTACTTGTTTGATTAAAGGTCTGTGTGTAGAGTGAAAGATTATGGAATCAATGGAATTGTTTAAGAAAATGATTGTTGTTGGTTGTAGGCCTAATGTGATCACTTGCAACACTTTGATTGGTGGATTGTGTAAAACAGAGAAAATTAGTGTTGCCATTAAGTTGCTTGAAGAGATGGTCAATGGGAATAAAGAATTTGGTGTTATTTGTAGGCCAAATGTTGTTACTTATAGTATTATAATTGATGGTCTTTGTAAGGCTGGATTGGTTGAGAAGGCTAGACAACTATTGTTGGAACATATGATTCAGAGAGGTGTGGTTCCTAACATTTATACCTATAACATTTTGATAAACAGTTATTGCTTGGTAGATAGAATTGGTGATGCAAGGAAGTTGTTTGATTCTATAACTAGAAAGGGGTGTAGACCTGATGTTGTTTGCTACAATACTGTGATAAATTGGTATTGCAAGAATAAAGAAGTCAATGAAGCTCTTAGTCTTTATCGAGAGATGATTTCAGAAGGAATTAGGCCTGATGTGATTACATATAACACCTTGTTAACTGGATTTTTTCTTATAGCAAAGGTGAAAGATGCACGGAATTTAGTTGGTGAGATGCGACTTAACGATGCTTTTCCTAATTCTCGGACATATAGCATTTTCATTAATGGACTTTGCAAGAACGGATGTGTTTTGGAAGCATTGGAAATGTTTAATGCTCTTGTAAATAATAAGTTTGCAGTCAGCATTGAAGGTTTGAGTTCCCTCATTGATGGATTATGTAAAACAGAGAGGTTGGGAACTGCTTGGGACCTATTTCAGAAATTTTGTCTTCATGGAAACCTGGTGCCAGACGTTGTAACATATAGCATTTTGATCAATGGGCTGTGTAAAAATGGACAACTAGAAATGGCAACTGAGTTGTTGTCATATATGGAGGAAAATGGTTGTGCTCCAAATGTAGTCACATTTACTACGCTTATGTTTGGTTTCCTCAAGAATAATGAGATACCAAAAGTTGTTGAACTCCTTCATAAGATGGTGGAGAGAAATGTGAAGCCGACTGAATGTACAATGTCCTTAGTCATGCAGTTACTAATGAAGGCCGAAAATTATAGTGAATGTTTGAACGAGCTTCCTCAATTTCCGGTCCAAAAGCGAAATTGATGTTTACGTGATAAAACTTTAGCGAGTATTAAACATTTTTTCGGAGCAGAATCCTGCAAAAGTTCATCCAGCTGCCCAAATGCTCTATATTGGTTACGGTAAGCAGAAGGTTCAGTAAACACTTTTATCTGTTCGAATTTGATAGGGATGGTGATGGGGATGATTGAGAATGATAGCTTTCCTGATCAGACATACGATACGTGATCTGTCTCTGTTGTAAGTACATGTATTGGAGGTGGCAGCATTGCAGGTTGCGTTTGGATTTGCACATGTAGTAGATCTTAAGGGTTTGAGGATTATTTTTGGTGTAAATTTCAGTAAGCAAAAGTTGTATATGAGGAATTGTGGAATGGTTCTTACTTCAACTACGACAATAATGGTAGCCGCTCAAGTTCATCTATTCAAGCTAATCAGTTTACTGGACAATGGTATGTTGCAACTGATTAACTTCATTCATTGATATTCTCAATTATCCAGGCCTGATAAATCTTGATTTATTTATAGTGTTTCACATGTTTTTGTTTCTCAATATATATTCTTTTTTAGTTCAGATCTAATAAGACTAGAACTTACCAGGTGTGTCTCTAATGTAGTTATGCACGAGCATGTGCTCTTTCAGCGATAGTTGATGAAGACAAAGCAAAAAGAGCATTAGAGAAGGTTTTTCACTAGAATATCTTAAAGAATATGGATGCAGAACAGGGGCCGGTCAATGGGATCTACCTGTTGGAACAGTTAAAATGACAACATTGCAGTCAAGAAAAATATGGTCTGGTGTTACATGTGCAGTTGCTGTAACGATGATCGTGGAGATTTGGTCGATATGGGATTTCAAATTGCCATTGAAATCTATGAAGCAGCATGGTCTGAAAATGCACTCGTGTAAGAACCCCTAAGTTTGTTTAAAGCTGTTATCTTATAGCTTAGTTAATAGGCTGTTAACTAAGGTATGAGTTTGTGTTTTTTAGATCTAAATCTATCTCAAATCTATATAGATTTCATTTCATCATCTGTTTTGTCAATTCATTTATTATTATTATTTTTTTGGTGGATGTACTATTTAACCATTTTCTAGTAGATTCTTGATGTTGTGAAATGTTGGACAAAATTCGGGTAGTTATAATGTCTAGTAGATAATATTTTTGCTCCTTAGGTGATGGAGGGGGAGAAGAATATCATAGATAGATAATATAGGGTGATAGAGAGAAATTAATAGGTTAAGAAGAGGAATCAAGAAAGGGATACCAAGGACTCAAATACTTGATCCTAAAATGTAGAAGATAAGGACTAAATACCCATTTGCATCGTTCTTTTACGTCCTGCATCGTCAGTTTACTTCCTTTAGGATAAATTTCTGTTGACTACAATTGGAAACTTTACATTCTGCATAATTTACACTGAAAAATATCTGCTCCAGAACTATTTGTTCCTGATAATTGACTGACTCGTTGTTGTTTTCTACGTAGTTATTCTTTCTAAACTCCTGAAGCTTGGACCACCATTGATTGTTTTAGAGCGCTAAATTACATGCATTCATTGGCTATATGGGCAATGAACTCTTACAAGGCCAAAACCTTGTAGGAATGGGATGAAACCAACAATAAATGAGGAATGTCTGTATAGATATCATGCAGGATTCTGTGAAGGTGCTCACCTTCTAAAGGTATCGGATGAGAAAACACTTAAAGGTTTTTCACAGTCACTCTTGTATTACACTTGCAAGAAGATGTTTCCATAATTGATTGGTTCATGCAATTTTATGTACAGTTAATGAGTTGTATTTTAAAAGAAAACATTTGAAATGCTTATGTAAATTATATTGTTCAACTATTAGTCATTCGATTCTTGTAACTATTTTCAGAATTTAGTTTCGATAGGTACCATTGTTTCCAAATTTTGCAAAAAATAAAGGTCATAACAGAGATTACAACGTTATATGCACTAGGAAGTACATTCATAACAAAAGTTCTTTATGAAGATGGGTGTATGTTTGACTGTTTAATCATTTGATATGTGCTGATCATATCTATTAATGTATCAGTTAACATTTATGATCAGTTCAGTATCAATTATTAGTTTTATAGTATCAGATCAATTTTTCGTTATACAATATTAGAACAATTATTAGTTCATGGTATCAATTCATTTATCAGTTATTAGTTGTAATGCATCAGAAATGAACTAATAAAGTAAACAGTTAATAATAGTAGTTTCAGTACTAGATACTAGACATTAAAAATACAGAATCAGAGGAAATATATAATATATCTCTAGTTTATTAATATCAGTTTATAAGAAATAAGTCAGATAATTGTACCATAATTACATAGACAATATTTTCATAAAAGTAAAGAAAAAATGTTTTACAAAATCATCTATTCATTGAGTATTTTTAGGTTAACACAGGAATTATGCTGAGTAATGATTTTCGCTCGAGGTTGGGTCCATTCACCAGCTTCATTTTGCATGTCATTCCACATGTAATGATGTATACTGCATGAGGGTTATCACCCATAGACTTATTATATGCATATTTCCATCTGAATTTATGATATGCACTATTTTGTTTTCAGAAAAAATATTTGGTAATAAAGAGTTTCTTTCAAATAAAAATATGAAACAGTATAATAAAATGAATAATTATAATATAAAAGAAAAATCCATTTACCTTTTGTCTTGTTTCTATTTTTGTTATTATATATTTGTCAAGAAAAATAAGTCCTAATTAATAAATATATATTTAATTTTTTTTTAAATAATTAGACAATTTGTGGTTTATTACCCTGTCACCTCTAAGGTCTGGAAACTAACAATTCTACCCCTAATGGAGTTTTGTTCCAATTAATGATCGTGTAAAGTATAAGAAAGATATTTTGAATAAACGGTTAGCCTTTTTTACATCCGAGAAATACAATAATACAAAAATAATTTGTCTTCTTTTCAAAATGGATACTATGTAAGATAATTTTCTTGATAAATTTAAGATTTTATTTTAGTTTATTTTCTTATTTTATTTTATTTCTTTTCTCTATTTTTTTCCTTATATCAAAGGAATATAATTACTAGTAGGAAATCTTCCCCATCAGAGTTAGAATATATATAGGGGGTGAAGTGTGATTTTAAAAAATTAGGGAAATTTCACGCCAAATCTCTGGGTATCGTTGAATAAACCCAACCCTTCAGTACACTTGAGAGAAACACAGAGCAAACGAAGCAGAATAATGGAACCAAAAGATCAAACCCTAGCGCCAAAAACCCGAGATGAAGAAGACACAGACACGGCTATGGCGGATACTAACGAAAACCCAGAACCAATGGAGCCCAAGTCTCCAAACTCGAGAGACTCAAGTGACTTGGACTCGGACTCGGACTCAAAATATGAAGCACAACAAAAAATTAGAAGACAAGGACTGAAATACTCTATCCTAAAATGTAGAAAGACTAAATACCCGCGCCCTTCCTTTATGTCTTGCATCGTCAGGTTACTACCTTTAGGACAATTTCCTGCCTCTTACAATTGGAAACTTTATATTCTGCATAATTTACATTGAAAATCATTTGCTTTAGAACTATTTGTTCTTGATAATTCACTAACTCATTATTGTTTTCTGCGTAGTTATTCTTTCTAAATTCTTGAAGCTTGGACCACTGTTGATTGTTTAGAGTGCTAAGTTACATGCATTCTTTGGCCATATGGGCAATGAGCTTTTACAAGACCAAAACCTTGTAAGAATGGGTGGGCAATGGGCTCTTACAAGGCCAAAACCTTGTAACAATAGGATGAAACCAACAATAAATGAAGAATGTCTGTATATATATCATGCAGGATTCTGCAAAGTTGCTCATCTTCTAAAGGTATCGGATGAGAAAACGCTTAAAGGTCTTTTATGGTCACTCTTGTATTACACTTGCAAGAAGATGCTTCCATAATTGATTAGTTCTTGTGACTTATTACCGTCTTGCAATTTTATGTATAGTAATGAGTTGTATTTTAAAAGAAAACATTTGAAATGCTTATTGTAGATTATATTGTTTTACTATTAGTTATCTGATTCTTGTAACTATTTTTAGAATTTAGTTTTGATGGGTACCATTGTTTCCAAATTTTGCAAGCAATAAGGATCATAACAGAGATTACAATGTTATAGGAACTAGAAAGCACATTCATAACAAAATTTCTTGACTTAGATAGGTGTATGTTTGACTGTTTAACCACTTGATCTGTGCTGGTCATAAATGTTAATGTATCAGTTAACATATATGATCAGTTAGTTCAGTATCAATTACTAGTTTTATAGTATCATATCAATTTTCCGTTTTACAATATTAGAACAATTATTAGATTATGGTATCAGATCATTTATCAATTATTAGTTTTAATGTATCATAAATGAACTAATAAAGTAAACAGTTAATAATAATAGTTTCAGTACCATATATTAGACATTAAAAATATATAATATATCTCTAGTTTATTAATATCAGTTTACAAGAAATAATTCAAATAATTGTACCATAATTACATAGACATTATTTTCAAAAAATTGTAAGTAAAGAAAAAATGTTTTACAAAATCAACTATTTATTGAGTATTTTTAGGTTATCACAGGATCGTGCTGAACAGTGATTTTCATTCGAGGTTGGGTCCATGCGACAGTTTCATTTTGCATGTCACGCCACATGTAATGATGTAAACTGCACGAGGATTATCACACATAGACATATTATATGCATATTTCCATCTGAATTTATGATATGTACCATTTTGTTTTCAGAAAAAGGATTTGGTACTAAAGAGTTTTCTTTCAAAGAAAAATACTATAGTAGAAAAATATGAAATACTATAATAAAATGAATAATTATAACATATAAGAAACATCTATTTACCTTTTGTCTTGTTTCTATTTTTGTTATTATATATTTGTCAAGAAAAAACAAGTCCTAATTAATAAATATATTTTTTAAATAATTAGACAATTTGTGGTTTACTACCTTGTCACCTCTAAGGTCTAGAAACTAACAATTCTACCGCTAATGGAGTTTTGTTCCAATTAATGATGGTGCAAAGGATTAGAAAGACATTTTTAATAGACGGTTAGCCTTTTTTACATCCGATAAATACAACAATACCAAAATAATGTCTTCTTTTCGAAATGGATACTATGTAAGATAATTTTCTTGATAAATTTAAGATCTTAATTTAGTTTATTCTCTTATTTTATTTTACTTGTTTTCTCTATTTTTTTTCCTTATCTTATGCCAAAGGAAAATAGCCAATATATATATATATATAGTAAAATCTATAGTCATAATAGTAAGACTAACTAATTTTATTACTATAAGAAGGTTATTACTTAATAGAGGTGTAGTTACAAAAAAAAATTATTTTATAATTCATGTTTTAGTAGTACAGTATTAGGATTTAAATTCATGTTTTACGTATTATGATTTCAAATTCAGCGCTTCAATTGCTTATTCTTGAAACAGATAGAAGATCATGTCTTGAAGCTAGCAAATATAAGTGTTCTTGATGAAATTGTAAATGTAATTGCTGCATGGTCAATTGATGTGAAGCCACATACAATTATCAATTGTTTTAAACATTGCAAGATTAGGACCCTTGATGTCGACGAATTGCACGTTACAAATTAAGTGGAGGATGAGAATCTAAGAGTCATAGTAGAATTGAGTGATTATATTCGATAACTTCACTGCACTAATCGAATGGATATTAATATCTTTCTCAATCATCTAAATGAACAAGTCATACATGTATTATTTGAAGAAGAAATCATTGCTACAATTAGACAAGAATAGAAAGGAAATAAACATGAGTATGATAATATGAAGATGCAAAAAATTTCGTGCCAAGAAGCTCTAAACATACTTGAGAAGCTAGAAATATTTTGGCTTCAACAAGAAGATGTCCATGCTAATGAGTAATGTACCCGTAAGTTAAAAGATGTGATATCAACTCTAAAGCATAAATCATTGTCCCAAACAATTTTAGATAAATATTTTATTTCATTGTAAATTTTTGATGTAACATAACATATTTTTTTTTACAATATACAGATAGTTATTACTATGTGGAGGCAACTTTCCTTAAGACGGAATAAGAAAAATTATAACTTATTATAATATGAAGTTTATTTTTATTTATAATTATCCCAAAACAATAATATAATTTTTTATAACGGTAGAGAGATTTATATATATATATATATAGTTTTTACACCAAACCTCTGGTTAGCAGTGCAATAAACATACTTGAGACACTAGAAATATTTTGGATTCAACAAGAAGATGTTCATGCTATGAGTAATGTATCCCGTAAGTTAAAAGATATAGTATCAACTCTAAAGCATAAATCATTGTCTCAAACAATTTTAGATAAATATTTTGTTTATCTAACATAAATTTTTGATGTAACATAACATATATTTTCTTTAGATAAATCATTGTCCCAAATAATTTTATATAAATATATTATTTAGATAAATAAATCATCTTAAATTTTTTATGTAACATAACATATATTTTTTTACAATATACAGATAATTATTACTATGTAAAAGCAACTTTTCTTATGACAAGAATTG